TATATATATAATGTCTTTCAAGGTCTTGGGTGGCTTTAGTGTTAAGTGGGTTAAAGTCTGACAATTCCAACATCAGTGTGCGATTGATGTCCCATCAGTTGCTCACTGGACGCACAAAGATAATAGCTGCAAAAGAAGGATTTTTTCACCCTCCTAAGCAAGCCGTGTAATTTGTTTTGATAGATAAGATTAGACACTATGAGATACGTCTTCACAGGTGATATATCCTCAGACCAAACATGTTATGATTTACAAAATAGTGAGGTTTTTAAGTCATAGAAGTTTCCTCAAAGTCGTCTCCATTATGCTTTAATGAATCTTTTTGTTTGTGGTTCCCTCAAGGATAATTCTACTTTTACATCACTGTAGATTTACTGTGTGAAGACGGAACAAATAGAAGTAAACTGAGCCTGAGTTGGAATCAGATTCATTGTCAAAAAGCAACTAAAATCATTTATTTGTGGCATGTGATGACAGATAAACAGCGGCTACATGCACAGTGGCTGTATAACTTAGAATTACACAATTTTAAGCCTGAGTGATTAGGAATTAAGGAATGTTATCGTCTGGATTACTGATGTAACCAGTGTGTAAATATCACGTAACTGTAATTGTACTACAATTTTTCTTCACTCCACCGAGGAAGATAAATGTGACAATAAGGACTTGAGCCTGTCACTCATGCAGTCACTAGACGTTCACAGAGCTTTAGCTTCATTTGTGCAGGAAGAACACCGATCACTGTTCCTTTGTGCCATAAACCATTTGAGCAGAATTGCTGTGACAAGGTCATGTACTGTAAAATGCAATAAAGAAGCCGAAAGAAGCTTCCTATACTGTCAATGATTATGATGTCCCGATAATGCGGCAATAATTTGACAGGAAGTGCTACATCTTTATTTTTTATTGTTCACCTAAAATACATTTGTGTGCATCGACTAAATGAGAAAAATGATGATACACAATGCACAACAATTACATATAAAATATACACTGTGTATAATGTGAAAAAAAGTACAATCAGGAAGATTTATTACAAGAATACTGTATGTGATTTCACATGTATCACACATACAACATATTTTTTGCCAAAAAATGTAAGTAGATAGCACATTTAGACATGATAATAATAATTCAAATTTAAATTGCGGTCTTAAAAGTTCTTTATAAAAGATTACAAACTGATGAAAGTGAATCATATTTCATTTATTTCAGTACCTGAAAAGCAAAACTCCGCTGCAGTTTTTGTTGGGATGTGAAGTAGACAACAAACAAATTTGTGCAAATTTGACTTATTTTAAATGCAGATATCTTCAGATGCTTTATAGTTTCTATTCACTCTGACTCATGGCAATGTTAATGTCCTTTCACACTGTTACACAAATATGTGTAGTCACTTTTTCTTGCTGATGTGGACAACACAGCAACGGGTAAAAGTTAATCTTAGATGAAGTTTATGTAAAAGGGGCAGGCCATAAAAAGCTGTACCGCTCCATGTCACATTACTGGTCTGCTGCCTGCTCTGGGTTTCACATCTCAATCACAGAAGCTCGACCTTCCTCAAACTCATCGAAGGCACAGATTTAGCATGAGTGTGTACACTTAGTCAAACTGACGCCCGAGCTGTGAAAAACAAACCAGCACTGGAGAGGAAAACTGAGCTTTAAATTATGGGCCTTAAAGGTCTTCATCTTCTGCCTCTTCTTCTGCTTTGCCACGGAATTCAGCTTGTCCAAGGTAAACGTTTTATTCTGGATTTCACAACGATTCATTTTCTGCTGACTACCTCATTAAAGCAAATATATCTGTCGAGAGGAATCAAAGTAATAACAGCTGGATTTGAGGATTTTTGCACTAAAATGTTATATTACAAAGCTTGAATTTTTGCAGTTATTCCCGATTTGTACAAAAACTACTCAAATCTCACTGAAGCACTCGATTTTAAACTTTTAAATGATTGAAAAGTTGGCAATGTTGTCATTTTCAGCTGCTTTGACTTTTAAAAACATGTAAAAATGTGTAAAGTAAACAATTTATCTGCAAAATAAAGCAGCAGTTTTAAGCAAATCCTAAATTCATAACTTTGTTGTTTGATGTTGTTCATTGCAAGATGTTTTGTAGTTCTAAAAAAACGTGGAGATTACTGTCTGTATTCCTTACATTTTCTTACTAATTAATGAAAAATGTGAATGCAAGCGATACAAAATAGGTTAAGTACGTAGAAGGAGCAATCACTCTGCTAATTCAGACATCAATAACCAATTTTAAGATGACAGCCTCATATAATCCAAGGTCATCAAGTTGATTGTTCAAACCTGGTGAAGAATTAACTATGGTTTAAAGGCCAGATCACATGCTTTCAGGTGCAAATGTTGCACACTGAAGAAATAAGAGCAATTATACCAGTCGTAAACGTGGTAACTCATTTGTGAAGGAAGCTGCAAAATGCATATTGTTTTTCATTTAAGCAACACGGACGACAATTCATTGCATAAAATCATAAAAATAGTGTGAATGACCTCTCGAAGCCTAAATTCTGCAGGTCAACTTGACTGTGCCCATGAAAGTGAATGATATTTAAAACATTTTTGTTTCTGTTTTCTGCAGGAAGTTGTGGCAGCGGTGAGTTTCAATGCACCAATGGGCAATGCATTGACACAGACTGGAGGTGTGATGGAACCAAGGACTGCACGGACGACTCTGATGAACTCAACTGTCGTAAGTTTAACAACCAAGGAAAACCATTATTGTCATATTCGCCACACAGATGTGAACATGTAACAGTTAGTCATCTGGGTAAATAGGCATGTGTTGATTGCTCTGTTGTTTTGTTCCCTTGTGGCAGCGCCTCCATCATGCACCGCGCAGGAATTTAAATGTGTGACAAGCGGTGAATGCATCTCACAGGGGTTTGTCTGCGATGGGGAGGAGGACTGCGTCGACGGCTCAGATGAACAAAGAACCTGTGGTATGCTGAGTGGATGTTTATGTGCTGCTGGGAAAGAGAGATTATAACAGTGTCACTATTATCTTTGAAAAGTGGGTCTGAAGAAAAACAGAGCATATAAACATTGAATTTTATCAGTCAGAGGCTTGAAAAGCATCGCAAAAGGACAGAAAGGTCCGGCTCATGTGCAGTAACGAAGAGTAAAACCTCAAGGTGGCGACGTTATCTGAGCGTAAAGTTTAAATCTTCCAGCATTCAGGAAGCTCAATCGGCTAAATGTGTGTAAATAAACTTACACCACCATCCAAATGTCTGGTATGTTAACAAAAAGACAAGAAAGTAACTGTCAGAAACATGATGAAATGTTTCCTGCGACTATTTCGGTAGAAAAGATGTGAACATTTTTGATGTGATTTCTTTCTTCTTCTTCTTTTTTTTTTATGGCTTTTCATGTCACTGTGACAAATAATTCTGAATAGAGCTTTTATAGCAATGATTAAAGGGTTAACAGGAGCCCACAAGTCGTTTTACACTCTCGGTTGCAAGCCCGATTTTCATGCAACCACACATCTTGAAACAAAAGCTCCATGCTTTTGGTTCAGGTGACCGGACCTGCAGCCCAGGACAGTTCACCTGTCGGGAGGGCCAGTGCATTCCCGGAAAATACAAGTGTGACCGCGTGAAGGACTGCGTGGACAACTCTGATGAGAGCAACTGCAGTAAGACTTTCACATCCTGGGAGAACTGAGCCCACAATTACCATGAATGTTGTCAGATAGTCTCCAAATAATTGAAGCTTTTCGTCAACTAGGAATCATTCTGTTCCTTTTTTCTTCTTCTTGCAGACTATCCACAGTGCTCTGAGAAGACTTGTGCCAACGGGGCCTGTTACAACAACTCTCAGCACTGCAACGGCTTACAGGACTGCAGAGACGGTTCGGATGAATTCAACTGCAGTGAGTAGACAACAGCAAACCTTGACAACGGACATTTTGGACTGTCTGATAGACTGAACAAAAATAATTGGGGCAGATTTAGGATTTCGCCTAGCTCCACACACACACAAGGTTGTGATACATAACAATGAGTATGTTGGACATAAAAAAAAAATACCCGGTTTCCTCACATTAAAGACTTTAAACCACTTCCTCAGCCAAACAAGGCGGCAGACTGAGGTTACATTCTTGCCTATATGATCCGTCTTCAGAATTCAACAGTTTAGTCTAAGTTATAGAAATTTTTACATATATTTATACTTTCTTGGGTTAAAATATATTTTTTTTAAAAAAACGTATAATTTTTTAATTTTCTTCTTGTTTTATGATTATCTTGTTCTACTACCAAATAGAGCGACACTTCTGGCCGCCATCTTTGCTTTGCTTTTGCTAACATTAGGCTACGACCTTGCACAAATATCTATTTGAAAGGCAACTGTTATGCAGCAGACAAAATATTTTTCACCTCAGCTGGATAGTGTAATGTTAAAAAAAAAACCCAAACACGCATAAATGTTGTGGGGAGGAAAAAACGATTGGTTATTAAAAATGGTCACTAACCAAGCAATATGCACCATCATGCATTTCCCGTATATGTTTTGTTAAATTCTATTTTACCTGTTTCTTAGCTATACAATAGACTGTGAATTTGATGCGTGTGGATTACACCACTGCGGCACAAATCGCAGCTAGCGAGCGACTTAATAGCTCGAGTAGTGTCCGAAATGTTACTTTGCAGAGGTGCTCCCTACATAGTTCACTACATAGTTCACTATATAGTGGTCCCTATATAGTGAACTATGTAGTAAGTGAGTGGATGATTTTGGATGCAGCCTATGTGTCGTATACAACAGAGGTTAGCACACCATTTAATGTGATTCAAAACTGTATCACTCCACAGTGATTGCAGTAGTTTTAAGTTGAATAGTAAGGTGTTTGCTTTAACGTAAAATTCTTAAAAGAAATTGATTTAGCAGCCGGCACTCAATGCAACAACAGTTAGTACAGCTTTCATTACTGAGATTCAAATACTATTTTTTTGCAATATGTCATATCCCTACATTAATTTTAAACAACAAAATCAATCCCATGTTGACATGGAAGATGCCTAATTTCTGAAGAGAAATGTTCTACCATTCTTCAGAGACTGTTCAGAGGCAGGTTGTGTTGCTCTAGCTTTCTCTTTAAAATACCTCAAAGGTGTTCTGTTAGATTCAAGTCAGGTGACATACTTGACCAGGTCAGTTTTCACTTTTTCCATCGTCAGAAACTGGTATATCCACCGACATTCATGCTGTCATCTATAAATGCCGGCTCCCCAGCACCAGTAATGGCCAGTTTCTAATTTCCATTCATAACCTCTGTGAAAAGCCTGAAGCACTCTCCCCGCACATGTCATTCTACGTGGACGACCAAATAATGGTAACACTGCTCATTCTAAGCTCCCTGATTACTGATGCAACAATGTTCTGACTGGTTTTTAGGGGATCATCCTGTATTCTTCTCCATTGTCACGAAGCTTCATAAAATGATTTAAAAATTCCTCTGGAAACGCTTTTACATTTACAGCCTTGACGCAGACAGTGATACGGGTCCTTTTAAAACTCTGTTCATGCAACTGGACTGATTGGAAATCACAGGTGTCCTCTACTAGTCTTGTTCCAGTGATCACAGATTGTTTAACTTGTCCATCCGTCATCACAAGTATATTCACTTTTGTTGTATTTTTTGTACTTTGAGGCCTGTACCAATATAGTCTTTCTAAGATTATTGTTTGTAAAAATCCTTCGGAACCATTCTAATGCAAATGTTGAGAGGTGATTTCGAATCATTTGACATTTAAGTGATATTGCACAGGAGTTTACTTACATCTGTATTATGGTGTATGTAACAACTCTAATGCCTTTTTAGACTTTTCCTGGGATCAAATTTAACTTTAACCCTTTATGGGGCTAGTGACCATATTTGTTAACTTCCTTGGACGTTCAGTGTGTCCACCCTGAGCCTCTCCTTGAGGTTGAAGAACCATGTGTGCTTTGATTTAGTTTTTAAATTACTGCCAATATCACTAACTTATGAAAAATGTCACTAAACAAATGTTCCAGGCACTTTGTAAACGCTTTGTTACTGGTTTGTATTGAACTCCTCTTTGATTTGTTTTTGAGATTAGTGCCATTAATACCACTACTCCAAGAAAAACGGTACTAAATGAACTTGCCGAGCACTTTATAAATACTTTACTGGTTGTGTAAGTATCATTACCTCAAACTAAAGTGCTTCTAAATAAATATATATTTTTTTAGCAGTTTGTTACTTTTTGTCTTATTTATTATAAATCCTCCTCTTTTTTAACCCATATACGGACAAGTGATCATATATGGTAACTTCATTAATTTTGATTTGCAACTCTTTTTTTTTTTAAGTCACAAAAATAAAAATATATCTTGAAATATCCTTCAATAACACCCTAGGATTGAAATTTTCATTTTCCAAGTATTTCCAGGAGTGCCCTGTAAAGGGTTAACTCTTGTTCCGTTTATTTCTTTGAATTTTTGCAGTTAATGCCATATAATAAAGTCTGACTGTGCATACATATATGCCAGGGGGCATATTGTAACAAAAGGTACGAACAGCCTCAACCTTTGCCCCTCTGGATCTTTATAAGTTCTTTCACCTTGTGATTTCTGTAAACGAGGAATTTAAACCTATTCAGATGTTCAGTTTAGTCAGAAGTTGTTTCAATAATTAACAGATTGTTGGACAGTTTGTACATTCAATCACTGTGTTCTGTGTTCTTTTTTTCAGCAAACCAGCACTGTCCGTTCCACAAGTTTCAGTGTGCCAATGGCTACTGTATTCCACTTGCCTTTGTGTGTGACCACTGGGATGACTGTGGGGATAACAGCGATGAGAAAGACTGTGGTAAGAATTAGACTGAGCTGTCTCTCGCATACACTCCAGCAACAACGAGGGTCTTCCATTTTATAATTTATGATCAGCACTGCCTGACAACATTCCTGTTCTGCAGCGTACGAGAGCTGTAGTGGCAACGAGTTCACATGTTCCAGCGGCCGTTGTATTCCTCAGTCGTGGGTGTGTGACCATTTCAATGATTGTGGAGACTTCAGTGATGAGAAAGGATGTGGTGAGAAACCCTGATCTTTCAAACTTGTTCTTGAAACAAATAAACTTAAATTCAGTTTAAACATTCAGAGGTACTTTTACAAAATGTACACGTGTGAACTGTGTTGAGATGTGATGTTCACAAGTTTAAAGACTGAGAAATATTACTGTATACATTCATCAAACGTTTCTGTCGTTTTTAGATAGTAACTCTCGAGACTGTTACCCTGGGGAGTGGGGATGCCCTGACTCGATGGCATGTATACCTGTCGGCAAAGTGTGTGATGGCACACCTGACTGTCCTGGAGGTACAGATGAAACCAACTCCACGACAGCGCAAACCTGCAGTAAGTCATTTTTCACCTTGGTTTGAGAAAACTGCACACATTTGTCCCACACTAACGAATTAATGCCGATTCATTAATGGCTTTATACCAGCAGGGTAAATTGACAGAAGAAAAGAGGTGAACTGAATTCGAGTAAACCTTTAACAAGACTGCAGATTTAGGTGCAGGAGTTTTATACGTAGTGTGGTGTACTCATAAAAGATTCACAGGAAACAGCTGCTGAGACTGATATGATCATAGCTTCTTCCTTCCTTATCAGAACCTTCACACACACCTGGTTTAAGATTAACTTTTTCCTGATAATTTTCAGATGATGATGGCTATAATTCTCATCATGGTACTGATAATGTTCTGGCACGCAGGCTTTAACTGCAACCTAGATTTGCCCAATCATGCTGATTTGTGTGATTTTTTTTGCTTACAGGCTTGGACCGGTGCTCCACTTTGAGCTGTGAGTATCTCTGCCACCCGTCTCCTCAGGGCGGTACTTGCTACTGCCCCGATGGCTTTACTGTGGCCAATGACAGCCGCTCCTGTGTGGGTAAGTGCCAGATATTGCTATATAAACCTATATGTGTTGCAACATTGATAGTCGTGCAGAATTCTCAGGTGAACAGTTTTGGGGATATTTCTGAAGTTTTTTCTTCTGGCTGGAAGTGATGACAAACACAGAGCTCAAATCTACAGTTCTACAATTTCAGTGCTTGGTTGTAAATTACTCATTTAAATACTCAGGCTAGCGCCTACAACATAACACATGGCTGTTTGTTTTGTTGTTCAGACTATGATGACTGTCAGATCTGGGGGATCTGTGACCAGCTGTGTGAGGATCGTCCTGGGACACACCACTGTAGCTGTGCTGACGGATACTTTCTGCAGCAGGGTCATGTCTGCAAAGCCAATGTGACAGGTATGCAGAGCAACACACCTTTACATTGTAGTGAGCCGCTGCTACAGTAGAAGACTTTACTTTAAAAAGCAATCTGTGGTGTGGTACTCATAAGGAACAATCATAACTCTCTTTACAAATATGTTTTTCAACATAACAGTTAATAAAATTTAGATTTTTTTTTAATGCCCCACGTCACAGATAGTTTTCTGTTTGTTTAATTGTGTACATGTAATACGTGTATTTTAAAATTCTATCACTTTTAAACAGTTTTTTTATTCTTTTTAATAATACTTTTAGTACTAGAGCCTGGCACACTGAAAAAATGTTGCTGTAAAATTACAGCAAAATACTATCAGCTGAGGTCGCCAGTATTTTACTGTAACATTTCCACAGTTGATTACTGTAAAATTCAATAATGTACTCTACCATAAAAAATGAAGTTCACATTAGAATACTGGCATTGGTGATCACCAGTATTTTATAATATTTTTAAATTACAAAATTTTCTTCCTTTATAACCTATAAATACTACAGTGAGCTGCAGACATACTACAACATAAATAAAAATGTGTCCTTAATTTTTGCAAGTCCATCTGTTTAACATTTAAAAGTGTATGTTCCACTACAACCTCTAAAACAATAAAGGATAAAGGATAAGGCAAGCTGCATTTTTATGTTTTAAAAAAATTTTTTAAGTAAACCTTAAAAAAAACTAAATTAACAAAATGTGAAATTGGCCTACCTCAGGGCATCCAATCCAGTCTGAGCTGCCTAAACCAAGATGTAGTACTGTGTAAGCTGTTGTGCAAAAATGTTTTGTTCATTTAAAGGCACTTACTTTACAGTACCTAACAGTGCACTCCTGTTAGAACCTAGCTGTCTTTTTCGTTTGTTTTTTGAAACAGTCAGTTATTAAAGTGCATTTATGTTTCGTTTCTTAGCTGGGCTGCCACAGCTCATTTTCACCAACGGGGGCGATGTGATGATAGCCGACATACATGGACGCATCGTCAGAACTCTGGTGCCATCCCAGGGCAGAGGTTACGCTGTAGGAGTCGCCTACCACATGCACTCAAAAGTCTTCTGGAGTGATACATCAACCCAAAAGGTCAGTCTGGTTCCTCGTCTGGTCACATTCTTAATGACGGCAAAAACAAGACACCTGTGCATCTGACCTGCAGCTCCATACTTCTGCACTGATCACTCTTTCACACTTTTCCCAGGTTTATTCTTCCAACTTCAACGGAGGCGAAATTAAAGAGATTATGACCGCTGCAGTCCACAGTGTCCAGAACCTTGCTGTGGACTGGATCAACTTCAAACTCTATGTCTTGGAGGCCAGGGTGGAGCGCATCGAAGCGTGCGACTTTGACGGGGGGAATCGGGTGTCACTGGTGGCTGAGAACCTGCAGACCCCTCATGGCCTCGCCCTGGACCCTACAGTGGGGTGGGTTTAAATATTATTTAGTCTGTTAACGCATGTCAGTAGTGATATTAAAATAACATTTGGAAGATTCATTTTTGGAGTCTTTATTATTATGGTTAAATGACAGGACTGATCCACTGGCAACTCTGCAAGAATCCACGTGAATTCTGTTAAAGAACTTTTTACTGGTTTTATATGATCATATAGAATCCCTTTAAGTGTTTTCTTCTTGTTTGTTTGCAGCTACATGTTCTTCACAGACATGGGCGTTTCTAATGAAAAGACAAAGCTGGAGCGTGCCTTCATGGATGGCAGTAATCGTATAGAGTTGGTCAAAAGCAGGCTCGGTACACCAACCGGAATTACCCTCGATATTGTCACACGGAGGGTCTACTGGTCTGACAGCCACTATGACACAGTGGAGACCGTCACATACAGCGGTTTGGACAGGTAAAGGTCGCACTGAAAATGTTGTCAGTCAAGATTTGTTCTAGAATTTAAACTTAGAAGGGAAAAAAAAAAGATCCAGCTGTATTGTGTTTTCAGTGGTGGCAATTCTAAAGTGTTATTTTTTCTCAGGAAAATAGTCCTGAATAATGCGCTTCAGGTGCCACATCCTTTTGGAATTGCTGTATTTGAAAACCACGTATTCTTCACTGACTGGACCAAGATGGGTGTGATCAGAGCCAATCGGTTCAACGGCAGCGACCCAACGCTCCTCTATCGTACTGCAAAGCAACCGGGCCATGTTGTGGTGTCGCACTCTGTCCTGCAACCTTTTGGTAAAGAGACATACTTCAACCTGTAACAATTCAGACTGAGTTCACGTTGTTTCCTCAGTCAAAGCTTGTGTTTTCCTTTCTCGGTGTTTGTCCAACTGGTCACGGAACATCATTAATGTGCTGAACTGACCACATCTGTCTTGTCTTGCAGTGATGAACCCTTGTGGCCGACACAATGGTGGCTGTCAGCACATTTGCTTATTAAGTCATCGCACAGACAATGATGGTTTGGGCTTCCGCTGCAAGTGTCGCTATGGTTACGACCTCCACTCAGACCTGCGGACCTGCTTTAGTGAGTTCACACTGAATGAGGGCAAAATGACCTGAAGTTTCTGTTACTCCCCTCTTGATATTTTCTATGTTTTGATTTTGGATGTCTGTCTTCTTACTTAGCAATTTAAAAAATGAGTGCAATTTACAATATTGTAAACACAATTTGTTGTATGCCATTACAGGTAGGCCTTTCAGACAGGTTAACAATTAAGGTAATGATGCAGAGTTGTGTAGATTTTGGCCTGCAAATGCATTTATCCGTAGATAGTGATTACCAACTGTTATGATAAAGCATATTAATGTACAGTGTAACACAAACAATATACTTTATCATAGCATATACTGCAAAAACAAATAAATCTGGCACCCTTGCTGCCAGAAATAAGTACGCTAAAAATGATAGAATGAGAAACTGCTGATAAACACAGCCTTCTGTATGTATACAGTATATGAACTACTACTTTGCTTATTGTACTTTCATGAAACATAAGCATTAAAAACAGAAAGGTGCCACTTGTGCAACAGTACCCACCTTAAAAATATGGGCGTAATTGAAGTTGAACAGATTATCAGCTGAAGAATAATAGAAAATACTGTCAGAATTGGTAATTGAAAAAAAAACAAAACAACAACAATAATGAAATGTTCGAACAATAACAGTAGAATAGGCAGGAGTTTATAATTCAGTTGTTTAGACAGCATGATTACCTGTTTGTAACCGCTGCCGCTGACTCTTCATACAGAGCTGAAGGATTATTTGTTGGTGGGCACTTCTCTGGCGGTGAGGGGAATCCCACTGAACCTGTCCCTCCAGGAGGACGTCACCCTGCCGCTTACAGGCCTTGGCACTTCTTTTGCTGGCTCTGCAATGGAGTTTGACGGCAACGAGGGGTCAGTTTTCTACAATGACAGGTCCCGGGGCTTCATCTATAAGTCCAACCTTAATGGCACCGGTGAGCTCATGTTAGATTTGTCTAATAAAGCACCACTGAAACATTAGAGCTCTTTCAAAGCTCTGTCCTAAATGTTTTCTTTATGCTCTCCCAGTTCAACAGATTTTAACAGGTTACAGAGTGGGAATAGTTGATGCCATGGCTTACGACTGGACCTCCAACGTTTTGTTTTGGACCACAACTACATACAAGGCGGTGGTGGCCTTCAGAGTCACAGACAAGTCCAGACGAGACATTGTGACTGCATTGAGGAACCCGAAGGGAATCGCAGTGCATCCTAGTGCTGGGTGAGATTTATCGGGAGCAATTACAAAAGAATGGTTTGCTTTGAGCAGATTTCAGTTTGCAGGGATATTGAGGAAATTAAACACAGTCCACACTATATTATGCATAAATATCCCATGAGGTTAGGTTATACCTGTGATAGACTGGTGACCTGTCCAGGGTGTCCCCTGCCTTCACCCTGAGTCAGCTGGGATAGACTCCAACTCTCCGTGACCCTAGTGAGGATTAAGTGGTGTATAGATAATGGATGGATGGGTGGATGGATGGGTGGATGGATGGATGGATGGGTGGTTAGGTTATAATATAGAAAATGACATCAAGGTTTACCCGGTTTTATACTGACACTGGTTGTCCAATCAAATGTCGATCCCCAGCTTCTTGTTCTGGTCTGACTGGTATCGTCCAGCGGTCATAATGAGAAGCTTCACTGACGGCAGCAATGCTATTCCTCTGATCAACACAACACTGGCAAGACCGTACGGACTCGCTGTGGACTATGCGTGAGTACAGTGATGACCTGTGAGACTCATGTGAAGCTCCTGTAAAAGGATGTGCAGTGTGACTCCAGTATTCCTTTGTATCGCTCTTAAATAGGAACGACAGGCTGTACTGGGTGGATTCCTTCCTGGACCAGATTGGTCACACTGACCTGGAAGGAAATGACAGACAGACGTTTTCCAATCTCGGCCAGATAACTGAGCCACTCTCTTTGACAGTTTATGCAGGTGAATTTCACGGTCTCCCCTGAAATACATTCACCACACTCACGATATTCAAAGGGCACATGATTTCAGCCATGTTTTTCTGCAGCCTGACAAACATCAAACTCTGTTATTATTCTAAAGCCTTAAATGTCGCCAAACCCCTTCATATCAATACTTGATACACGAGGCAAGAATCTTTGTTTCTGTAAAGATGTGAAGTCCAGAAGCTACTTCATGAAACTTAAATTTGTCATGCTACCAGTCACTGTAGCACACTAATAAGAAACTATTGGGACACTTATTTTCCATACAGCTGTTCATTAATAATATTCTGTGAATGAGGATTTGTTTTTAGGACCTTCCCTAGTGTTTTTCAAAATGCCCAACTACCTACTTCTGTCTTGCAGACTACCTGTATGTGAGTGATGCAAGGACCAGAGGAATATTCGAGATGAGGAAGAGAGATGGCGGAAGAAACACTATGATCAGACAAGGAATCACCGGCATCATGAATGTCAAGGCCTACACAGCTGACCTCCACAGCAGTAAGTGTACACACAGCAGGACATTGGAGTCTGCGAAGGGTTTAACAGTTATCCAGTTCAGATAAATGTGTGTATAAACAGGACTAAAGAGATGTGACTGCTAGCGGTGAGGGAATAATCGCCATATTACAATCCTATCCTTCTGAACTAGTGGCTTTTACAACAGGTACGTTATCCCGCCAAAATTACACTGTATGTCACAGCCAGAAGCTGTAACAATAGAAAGAATCATCAGGTTTTCAATTTTCCAAAAGATGAACTTCTCATCTGTTGGAAAACGTAACCAAATCTAAGCTTAAAGCGATGATATTTAATCAAATCTCTTTATTCTACATGTCTCATTAAAAAAAAATCACTAAAATAACTGATTTGTACCAATCTGATTCTGTAAACAACAAAATATTCTCCACTCCTTTGTGCAATTCAGCTTCAGCTGTGACCAACGGTAGTTTAATAAAAAAAATTCAGGCATATTTCAGCTAAACAGTAGGCTGTGTTCACACAAAGCAGATAGTACACATGTATGAAAAATCTTATTAAAAATCTAAGTAGTAAGATATCTAGAATGTGTAGAGTCCCTATTTTTCAATATTAAAACCTGAGGACTCTTGGAACATTTTTGTACATGTTGCTTCCAGGATATTTAATTTTTTGTAAAATAAACAAAGACATGTAACTTCTGTTTTTCTTTATGACCTTTTATCTTTGTAACACAGCATAAAGGACATTTTTCAGTTCTCTCTTTGCGTCATTTTTGTCTCTTTGCCATGGTTGTGCTGTCTCCATAGAGGTGTGGGATTTTGTATTGCAGTGAAAAGGTGTTTTTGAGCAAAAATATGACAGGAAAAAACAAAAAAAAATGCTCAGAATCTGCTTGGAGTTCAGCAGATCAAACAAGAATAATCACGCCAGCTGTACTAAGACATTGGTTGAGCGGTGAGTCAGCCAGATTAAACAGTCCAGAAACCTGTTGACTGCGTCTTTGTCCTTCCGACAGCCTACACCAGCCGTTGTAGCATGGTGCCCAATGGACACTGCAGCCACTTCTGCTTCCCCACTCCCTCCTTCAGTCGAGTGTGCGGCTGTCCGTACGGTATGAAACTTCAGAGCAACCAGAGGGACTGCATCAAAGACGATTCTGTGCCCCCACCTGACAACTGCGATGACTTATCGTTTGAGTGTGATGAAGGGCGCTGTAGGCCCAACTCCTACCGCTGTGATGGGATTGTCGATTGTGTAGATGAGACTGATGAGGCCAACTGCACCGATACAGGTGAATGTATAAGAAAATCTGTATGTCTGTGAAGTAGTGAATGGAAAAACTGGAGCAAACAACCTTCTCTTATCGTACAATATCCTTACCAGGAATGACCTGCTCTCCTCGAGCCTTCACCTGCAACAACAAGCGCTGCATCTATTCCAGTTGGCGCTGCGACGGCATGGACGACTGTGGAGATGGTTCTGATGAGGTCAACTGTCCCACTCGTCTCCCGACCACCTGTGCAGCTAATTACTTTACCTGTGATAACAAGAATTGTATCTCTAAACAATGGTTGTGTGATGGGGACAATGACTGTGGCGATGGCTCTGATGAACACAACTGCAGTAAGTATTGGGCTCACTTCATTTTCCCTTCATTCTTGTGTTTCATGAAATTCTGCGCATACATAGTCTTTTAAATCCACTGGCCAACCTGATAAATGAACTGTGATTGTCAGATTCCACCATCACTACATGCCCTCCTAGCTACTTCTTGTGTCCTGACCACCGCTGTATCCACAACTCCTTTGTGTGTGATGGAGACCAGGACTGTTTGGATGGGTCCGATGAGAAAGGCTGTGGTAGGAATCTACAATTTCAAACACATGTTTGCTGTAGGAAATAGAGAAAAATAGTCTTTTTAGTTGTTTTTTTCCTGTATTCTCCTTTCCACTTTCAGAGTTCTCCTGTTCCTCCTATGAGTTTGCCTGTGCCAGCAAGGACCAGTGTATTAGTTCAGTTTATCGGTGCGATGGAGTCTTTGACTGCAGGGACCATTCTGACGAACAAGGCTGTCGTATGTTAACTTCACATACTGATACTAAACATAAACAAAATTCTGAGAGAAGTGTTTTCCTTCTTAAAAAACATTTTTAAATGTCTCTGGCACCTCCAGCCACTCGAGGTCCAGGCCTCTGCCACAACGACGAGTTCCAGTGCCAGACGGACGGTTTCTGCATACCGGACGAATGGGAGTGTGACGGCCATCCAGACTGTGAGGATGGATCCGATGAACACAACTCCTGCCTGCCTTTCACCTGCGGAACCACCTATTTCCAGTGTGCCAACAAGATTTGCATACCGATGAGCTGGTTATGTGACGGCGACAATGACTGTCGGGACATGAGCGATGAGAAGAACTGCCCCACCCCTCCATATAGCTGCCCTTCGGGACAGTGGGAGTGCCCTACTGATGAGTTGTGCATCGACCTGGACAAGGTGTGCGACGGCAAGGGGGACTGTCCCAATGGAGCAGATGAATCACCACTCTGCAGTGAGTTTTCATGCATTTGTACATTATATTTAAGCCAATGACATTTCCAAAAAAATACAACTGAAAAAAGCTATGTTTACCAGCTGCCTGAAAAGACACTAAACAAACTGTCATGTTTCCTCATGAAGACCTAGATGACTGCGCACTGAACAACGGGGGCTGCAGTGACGGATGTATCCAAGGACCATTTGGGGCTGAGTGCACATGTCCTTCAGGGTTTCAGCTCCTCAATGACTCCAAGACCTGTGAAGACATCAATGAGTGTCTGATCCCTGGTTTCTGCAGTCAACAGTGCTACAATGAAAGAGGAACCTTCCGGTGCCACTGTTCACATGGCTACCTCCTGGAGCCCGATGGACGCACCTGCAAAGCTACGAGTAAGCAAGAAGCAATACAATCCAAATAAATCTGCACATATATTCTGGGTGTAGATTAATCCGTTCTTGTCTATTTGTTGCTAAAATGTTGGAAGCAAACAAAGTGTTTTTCTGCCCTCAGATCCCATTGCAGCTGTACTTTTGGTTGCCAAGCGTAGCCAGATCATTGCCAACCGGATTAAAATGAGACCACCCCAGATGGTCCCAGTGATCACCGGTTCAGCCATTGTGGCCGTTGACTTTGACAGCGTGACTTCAAGAATGTACTGGGCTGATGTCTCACAGAAGAAAATATGGAGTTCCTTCCAGAATGGCACAGACAGAAAGGAAGTAAGACAAACAGTAGCACATAAACATTAAAGCAATAACGTTCCTGCTCTACAGGAACTCAAAAGGCAGCAAAAAAGACAAGGTAAACTGTACAATATTCTCAGTGCTCAATGTGTCCCTGTTGTCTAGGTGTTCTCCACTGGTCTGCAAGTTCCTGAAAGCATTGCTGTGGATTGGGTGGGTCGGAACCTGTACTGGGTCGACTCTGATATGGAGAACATTGAGGTTTCCACCCTCGATGGTCAGTTTCGGAAGGTCCTTTTAACCAAAAACATTACCAGTCCCCGTGGACTGGTTTTAGACCCTCGAAACTAGTAAGATTTTTATTTTAATTTAATATGAAATGCTTTCTTGAAACACCTATCCATCTATGCTTCAACAACCAGGCCCAACCATCTCTATGATCTTGTCATTCTTCACAGTACTAACCTGATGTTCTGGTCCGACTGGGGTCAGAACCCCAGGATTGAGCGGGCCGACATGGACGGAAACATGAGACGAGTCATTGTCAGCACTAAACTCTACTGGCCCAATGGTCTGGCTCTGGACTATACCACACGCAGGGTCTACTTTGCTGATGCCTACCTCAAATATATTGACTACTGTGACTATGATGGCAAGAACCGCTATCAGGTCATGGCAAGTGACTTGGTAGGTTTAGTTTGATGATTTGAGAAAATACACTGAATTAGATTAAATTACTAGTAGAGTACAACTGAGTTAAACAATGAAAATGTAAGTTTAAATAGAAATGTGCCGCATTTTCCTCTTTTTTTAACCTCCAATCAGTTGGTATAAAGAGAAAAGATGACATTTTTTTGTCCTTTTATCTTATTTAAACATAGAGATATTATTTATGTATCCTTTACTTGCTCCTTTTATTTTTTAATTCCTTAGTTTCCCTGTTCTCTCTTTTTGTGTATATTTAGTCATTCATCTGTTCCCTATTTTCCCGAAACAAAATTTCACATTTTTCTCATCATTATCCCAAACACTTCAGATGAGAAATAATTGAGACAACAGGGAACATAAACATAACCCTTTCTTGATGCAGCATGAAAGAGCTCAAAGTCTGGGCAGGAGCCACATGCCATACATTGAAAGAGAGCAAGTGTGTTTAGAATAAATTATATACTTCTCAATAAAAGCTTGAAAATCACGCATGACCATCTCCCATTAGGTTCTCCAGCATCCGCATGGTATGACCATCTTCGAGGACAATGTCTACTGGTCAGAGCACTACTCCAGCAAGGTGATGACGACCAACAAGTTCCACGGTGGCAACGTCACCACTCTGATGACCAACGTCTACCAGCCCATGGGCATAGTTATGTCCCATCCCGTCAAACAGCCCACAGGTAGCTTCCAACTGAACAGTCTTCTTGATAGTAATTTACAAAGGTACACTGACAACAGGTTAATGTTTTTAAGGAACACAATATTAGACAAATAAACTCTGAGGGAATGTCGTGAATGTGAAAGTTCCACACACTGGTTCTATCACTTTCTTGTTGCAGTATGATCAAGTTATGTGATCGTTTCTTGAAATAGTGAAATGTCATTTTAAGCCTGAAGGTGACACTGTGGTTCTGTGTTTAGCCATCAATCCATGCAGAGAACATCTGTGCACTCAGCTGTGCCTGCTGTCAGGCATGAGGCCAAGGTACTACAGTTGCCACTGCCAGTCTGGATGGAAGCTGGATACTGACAAACGCACCTGCATCAAAGGTAGTTATTTTAAAACATCAGGTTGCATTTTTACCAGCGCTCCCTGCACCAGTGTTCACAGACTTAAACTATATAGAATTTTTATGGTTCTTTTAATCATCTTTGACAGTTAACTGAATATCTTTGGGTTGTGGACAAAACAAGACATTTGAGGACGTCATATTGGGTTTTAGGAAACACTAATCAGCATTTTTCAACATTTTCTGACGTTTCATAAACCAATTGATCAACTCAGAAAATAATGTACAGATTAATCTACAATGAAAATAGTCATTAGTTGCTGCTAAAACTGACATTCTATCCAACAGTGTGGCACTGTTTTGTGTGATTATTGTGTTCCTCCCTTCATGTGTACTTCTATTCTGTTGAAGATGAGAGTCCTTTCTTGATGGTGGTCAGAGATGCTCTGATTTTCGGTATTCCGCTGGACCCCGCTGACTCTTCCAACAATGCGATGACTGTGGTGTCCGGCATCAGTCAGGGACGAGACATTGAATTTGATGACCAGGAGCAGTTTGTCTACTGGGTGCAGAGCAGTGTGAGTGCAGGTGTTAAACTAAAGAACTGGAGAGATGTTTTATGACATGAAATGGATTTAATGTGATACAAGGATAGCTATTAATTAAAATGTTCTATTACATGTGATTAATCATGTTCACCTTAAATCATAGACCAACTTAAGCTTTAATAGCTTTCCTGCAGAAAAAAAAAAGGAAAAAGGTCAAAAAGGCTTTGCAAAGAGTTTTGGTTGAGTCCATTAATTCCACAGGTTAACTGCTGATGTGCACTTTCATGTTTTCTTAATTTTTTTTCCTTATACATTACTTGAGACGACCATTTCTGAAAGGTTTGTTTTGATGCATGGTCTCTTATTTTGCTTTAATATCAGGGTTCAATTTGGCGAGTGAAAACCGATGGAAGCAACAGATCTGAGTTTGCTCCAGCTGCTTTGATAGGCTCTCCGTCTGGTCTGGCTTTTGATTGGATAGGTCGAACAATGTATTACACCAATCCCACCGCTAAATCCATAGAAGTAAGCACCTTGTTCTACAAAATGATGACTTTTTTTCTGTTTACCTCTACTAAACCAAAGCTTTTGCACAGAACTGTATTTTACCACAAGTGTTTTTATCCTAACTAGCAGACGTTTGTTGTTGTTTTTTTCCCCTTTGTTAGTATTTATCACTTAACTGTTGTTTTTGTGTTGTCACTGTGGGCAAGTAAATGAGCAAAGTGTTTTGTGTAGGTTATCCGTGTAGATGGAATAAGTAACTACAGGAGGATTCTGATCACATCAACTGGGAAACCAGAGGCCGCAGGACAGCCTCTTGGAATTGCTGTGGATCCAGCGAGAGGGTAAAGCATCTGTTCACTAAGAAAATTGAGAATTTGCTCTTGTATTAGGTTTCAATGGAATAAATCAGGGTGATACAACAAAACATATTTAACACGATCATTCTAAATTCTGTGTCTTTGATGTCTTCTGGAAATTGGCCTGGAAATTGACCATGATCTTATTACCAATTATTCAGCAAGCAATAGCTGACTGACAAGGACAAAGTGAGTTTATTGTGTGAACAACCAATTGGAGGCCTTATTTCTCCAACGACAAAATGTCTTAGTCTTGTTTCCTGTGATAAACATAACACAACCAAAACAGTAATGGACAACACAGCCAAAAAATATCAAATAAGTAAATGGAAACTATAAGTTTTGAAGAGTTTTAATCCCCAAAATGTAAAATCACCATGAATAACAGTGAAGTTTCTTAACCCCAATATTTGCATTTTCATAATGCCAATCATAACTTTTTTTTTACTGGAGGGCACTTGACATGATGGTTATTGTCCTAAATGCTGTGTATAAAAAAAACATTGACTTAACTGTTTCGTCATGTTTCTATTGCTCGTTTAGGATCTTGTTTGTTTAATTTTAAATTCATTATTTTTCTAATTTGACATTTGTTTTTATTGTAAAGAACTGTTTAACTTTGTTTTCAAACAGTGCTATACAGATGAAGTTATTGTTATAATTATTACATGATTTGTGTGCACATCTTTGCATTTTTTTTTTTCTTCCAATTTTTTTCTCACATTTGCACTTTTCCCCCTATAGAAAATTATTTTGGACAGACAAGGGGTCAGACAGTGGAGTTCCCCCAAAGGTTGGCAGTGCTGACATGGACGGAAGCAACCTCAAGAACCTCTACACAGGCAACCTGGCTAACATTGGCTTCATCGCTGCTGACATCTCTACCAGGAAGCTGTACTGGGGTGTGTCAGGCTCAGGGGTGGTATGTACAGAAAAACTGCTCAACTTGTAGACTATGACTAAATATGTAGTCAGTGTCTTTACGATTTAGGTATGTTAAATTCTCCTCTAATGAATGTACTAACCTTTAATATGTGGGAAACACTTTTCTTTCCCTCCATAGTTGATCAAATTTTCATGTAGTTATCATAATGACTCACTTTCTTACCCTTTTAATACTCAGTATCGTACTGTCAGCGACTAATATCAACCTGAGTAATCTGATGTGTTTCAAACTAAAGTATTTTTTTCCTACTCTTACTGTTATGTTCTACTTGTAGTTTTGTTTTTATCTGCACACAGTCTTCATGATCTGCCTGTTTCCAGTAAACTCTCTCTTTTGGTTCTCCTTCCCTGCTCTCCCAGATCGAGTGTGGCACCATGGATGGAGTAACACGTGTGACGGTGGTCAGTGGTCTGTCCCACCCGTGGGGGCTGACGATCCACCAGAACCACCTCTACTACACTGACCTGGACTACGAGGTCATTGAGCGGGTGGACAAGGACAACGGCGCCAATATGGTGGTGATGAGGAGCGGCATGTCCGGCCTTCGTGCCCTCAAAGTGCACGCCAGAGACAGTACGTAGACGTACTGGTTTTTAATTTAGTCGAAAGGTGTCTTGTTAGTGTTTTTTATCCAGCCTGTTACATTACGCAACAGGCAATTATTGCCAGTGAATAAGTGGGAGTTGCAACTGGCAGGATCAAGGGCTACCAGTTTTTGTGTTCTTCATAGTCTGGGTTTTTGGAGGTTGGAATTTGGCTATTGCCATGTTAGGATTTCAAAACCACAAGTAAGGAGCAAGCAATGGATTTGACTGAAGAGTCGAGAACAGTGATATGTTAGTGATTTGTCAAACACCAGGTAGCCCTGCTTTAAACATATCCTGCTTTATTTTCTATTTCATTCTAAATGGAACTATAATCTACAAACTACACATCACGCTAAATTTAAAAATTCTGGAAACTTGCAGTTAAGTCCATAATTTCATTAGTAAAATGTTTACCGAGCTAATAAATTAAGTAAGAAGTAGTCTGAAACTAAGTCCATCTGTTAGGTATACAAGCTATGGTTGCATTACAATATAATATGATCCAGCAGTTCTCAGTTTCACTATTCTGTTTCTTACACATTAGACTCAGCAGGGACCAGCAACGCCTGCAGCTCCAACAACGGAGGCTGTCCGCACCTCTGTCTACCTAAACCAAACAATGAGAAGACCTGTGCCTGCACCACAGGATTTTACATCTCTCATGACGGTTCCCGATGTGAACAGTATGACTCTTACGCCATCATCTCCAACCTCAATCATATCCGTGGCTTCCATATAAACAGCTCTGACCACTCTGAGGCTATGGTTCCTGTTGGTGGAAGTATGTTGGCTTTATATTGCTTTGCATTGTGATGTTTAACCTGTTTTGCATATTATATATCTTTTTAATTGACTATAAACCCCAATTCAAACAAAAGGTGACATCTTGACCATTTTTTTACAGCGTCCTCATCCGTTAAGGACAGGTTGGACCTCCATATTGAATCTGGCTTTTTGTACTGGATTGATAACAGCACCTACACGTCATACAGGGGCATCTTCAGAGCCAAAACAGATGGAGGGAGTTACAGTGAGGTCATCTATACAGGCATTGGAAATGGAGGCCTCCAGGGCCTTGCTGTAGACTGGATTGCAGGTATGAAGCCACCCTCCCATTCAACCATCCAATTATTCCTCCACCGTCTCACCAAAGGAGCATTTACAAAAAATATGAAGATTCTATATTAATAATCCAAAAATCCCTTCTCTTTTTTTCCAATTTCTCAATTCACCCTCTTAGGTAACTTGTACTTCACCAATGTCTTTCCGAGTGAGACCTTCCTGGAGGTGCTGGCCATCAACACCACCTACCGAATGATTCTCCTCAAGTCCACCCAGGACCAGCCCCGTGATCTGGCAGTCAGCCCCAAGCTTCGCTACCTCTTTTGGACCGACGGTGGCCAGACACCAAAGATTGAGAGGGCCCTCCTGGATGGCACAAATCGCACAGTGTTGGCATCAGAGAGCCTGGCGTCACCTCGTGGACTCACTATTGATTACACTAATAACTTCCTCTACTGGACAGATGATGTCCTTGATATGATCTCCCGCATGGCCGTAGATGGCACACAGAGGCAGATCATCCGGTACGGGAGCCGATATCCATCTCCGGCTGGAATGGCTATATTGGGAAACTACATGCTGTGGGTGGATACAAAGCTGGGAAAGCTCTTCCAGGCCAGCAAGGACCCGGCCAATACCGACCAGCCAGAGGTGAAAGTTAAATTATCCTGATTTAACACACACTTTTATCTTTCAGGAAGATGCTGTTTTGTTGTCTTCCATAGAACCACTGAGTAGTGGATGTCATGCGTATAAAAAACAATGTTGCAGAAATTGTTGTTCATTTATCTCCCACATTTTCTGTTATTATAACTAAATTCCTATTAACATTGTCAAGTTAGTCAGAAAAGTCCCATGTCAGCTAAACAAGGGCTGTAAATATTCTCCATATTAACTTATCTGCAGTTTATTTTCATGTTAGAAAATGCTCTACGGCCAGAAACATACTTCTTAATTTACAATCATTTGAAGCAGAGGATACAGAAAATCTTTACAATTTACAATCTGGAAAGTAAACAAATGAAAATGTGACATTTTTGCTAGAAAAAACTGCAATCAGTTAACACTGAGAAACATCAGATTGCAAGTGGGTGACGAATAACAAGAGTGGATGGAATGTGGTTGGTTTTGCATTTGGTTGAGTTACACGAACTACCAATAAATAACAGCAAACATAAAGTTTCAGTAATATCGTAACAGTTATATCCAGAATTACTTCTTTTCATGTGAACACTTTACATTTCTTCTTTAAATGTGCTATGCTCACGAAACTTAGATAACAAAACTAAATTTTTCTGTTGTCACAGGTAATCCGAGACGGTTTTGATGGACTGAAGGATGTCACCATCTTTGACCCGCATGTCCAGCCTACATCTGCCCACCAGGTTGGGTTTAACCCTTGCCATGAAGACAATGGACGCTGCCAGCAGCTCTGCTTTGCCATCCCAGACCAGGAGCACCCTAAATGTGGCTGTGCACATGGGTCACTCCTTAGCAATGGAGTATCGTGTGGCTACGGTCTTGATGAGTTTCTAATTTTTACCACAGACTACGGGCTGAACAGCATGAGGTTGGACCCAGCTGATCACAGCACTCCCTATCCAACAGTGACCTTGGGCTACAACTTAATGGCGCTGGATTTTGACTTCAAGGAGAAGCGAGTTTTCTTCACCCAGTATGCAGGGTTAGGTAGGAGCAAGATTGGGTACATCACCACAACATCCATCACCAGCCCTCCTGTCTTTATCGCTACGGGTAAGTTTTGCACTGTCACTGTTCACATTCACCCTGTTTCATTTTCTCATTTCCTGTATGAGCTTATCGTTGTTTTTGTCACTTTGTTTAATATCCTCTCCTCTGCATATTGCTCAGATTTGGATGACCCAGAGGGACTGGCATATGATTGGGTCAACAAGCGCCTCTACTTTACTGACTACTATGCCCGTAATGTTCAGTCGTTGGGGGTGGATGGGAAGAACCGCACAATCATCGCCAGTGCAAACCGCCCCAGAGGCATCATTGCTGATCCATGCTATGGGTAAAAGCAACAAACTGTTATTTCAGAAACGCATAGGTTGAAATTGGTTTTCAGGTGTTGGTAGTGAACATCGAAGGTACCTCTTGCTCTTTTACTCATGCCAGGTACTTGTACTGGACTGACTGGGGCAGTCCGGCTAAAATTGAGAGGGCCACACTGGGTGGAAACTTCCGTACGGCCATCATCAGCGACAGACTGACAACACCAAATGGTCTGTCTCTGGACTACGAGGAGAGGATGCTCTACTGGGCCGACGCCTCACTGTATGTCCAGTTTTTCCTGTGTTATATATTAAAAAGTCATATATTTTGCAGCAAAATTTCTTTTTTTCCCTCTTGCTTTTCTGCAGAGACAAGATTGAGCGATCCACTCTGACTGGTGAGAACCGACAAGTGATCTTGCAGGGGGTCACGTACCCATTCGCCATGACTGTCTTCCAGCAGGACATCTTCTGGACCGACTGGACTGAGAGATCTATCTTTAGGGCTGGAAAGGACGATGGCTCTGGCTTAACAGTCCTAGCCCAGGATATGCAGTACCGACCAAATGACATCCACGTTTATGCTGGATCTAAGCAGGAGAGCTGCTCCAGCTTCTGTCAGCAGTTCAATGGAGGATGCAGTCATATATGTGTTTCTGGTAAGACCACACTTATCCGTGCATTGTTACTGAAAAAGGGGCCTTGCCTCAGTATTTTGTGTCTGAAGTTGTGTCTATGTCCTCTCAGATGTAATGCTGTCTTAATTTCTGTTACAACTTAGATTCAAGACATAATTTTGACAAGGAAATCTTCTATATAAAAAAAATCTCTTTTGCTATGATAAACACATTAAGGTAAGTGTTTGGCTTTAAGTCAGTGTTTAACTTTAGCTTGAAAGTTATCAAGGACATCCTACAGGACATAAAGGGACATACAGCACTACTATTAAGAAGAGGAATTATCTCTACATTCCCTCTGGTTTCTGCCACATTCCTAAACTCTCTCACCTCCCATAATCTTGGCTTTAGGTCCAGTGGGCCCAGAGTGCCAGTGTCCTCATGAGGGGAAGTGGTATCTAGCCAACAACGGGAAAGACTGCATCAAAGACACGGGAAAACGCTGTCAACCGGAGCAGTTCACCTGCCTCAATGGTAACTGTATCTTAATGCAGGGGAAGTGTGATGGCTACAACAACTGCAACGACAACACGGATGAGCTCGAGAGAGTGTGTGGTGAGGAATCAGGACTTTTGATACATGCATGTTAATCCACTCCTTTCTACTTCTCCTGGTGGTTTGTTGTATCTTCAACAAGAATGCAAGCTTTTTCTGCTGGTAGACTTCAGCTATTGCTTGCTCTTACCCTATCCAGCCTTCCACACCTGCTTACCCACGGACTTCACCTGTGACAACGGCCGCTGCGTCCCTCTCGCCTACACCTGTGACTACACAGACGACTGTGGGGACAACAGTGATGAGCGAGGCTGCCCCTTCCCCACATGTAACCCAGACACTGAGTTCACCTGCGCTAGCGGACGCTGCATCAGTGCAGCCTTCATCTGCGATGGGTTCAACGACTGCCGAGACAACACCACGTCTGATGAAATTAACTGCCGTGAGTGATGATAATCAAGTGTTTGATTCATTAACCGTTGGACTGATTATGACGGATAATGAGATATTTCCTGTGCTCATGTAGCAAGATTAGAAAGAAAGTTGAAAAGTTCTGACTTGAGGTCACTGTTTAAACTCTCCAGACTGGGCTTCCTCTGCATGAATAACCATTTTCAGCTGAAGCAAACATTTCTTAGTGGCCGATGATTGAATATTGTGGTTTTATTAGACACCTGAAGTGATTCTGTTTTGATAAATAATACACATACACTGTACATAGCATCAAAGGATCACCACTAACCTTGTGTGAACTCTCCTCAGCTGACCGCACATGTCCTGCTGGCCAGATGAAGTGTGACAACAACAACATCTGCATCTACCCTGACAGCCTGTGTGATGGCTACAACAACTGTGGGGACAACAGCGATGAAAATCCTCTCTTCTGCAGTAAGTTGAACACTAAGCGAAAGAATGTAAGAAAAAGAGAGACCCGCTTGCGCTTTGTAGAATTTTGGCCACCTGAAAAGTTTATGGTGGCACATTGGTATACTGTAGATCTAAATCTGTGCAATCGGCTTTGTGTGTTGCTGTACTGCAGGGAGTCGAACTTGCTCTCCGGATGAGTTCCTATGTGATACAGGAAAATGTATCCCACAGTCTTTTGTGTGTGACCACATCCAAGACTGCCGTGATGGGACAGATGAATCTTCCTCTTGTGGTGAGTTGACAGCTGACAGGTACAGCTCAAATTCAAAGCAAACTTCTTTGCCGATATAAGGACTATAAACAAGATAGCTACCAGCTTTTATTTTTAATCTGGTTTTTAGTTTATTGGTGACTCAAGTTATTGCATTTGGAAAGCTTGTAATTTAGGAAATGTGTGTTTTTTTCATTTTACTTATTACTCTTTCTTTGATCCTGAGCAGAAGATTTCATCCGAACATGCGGTCCAGACCAGTTCACTTGTACCAATGGGAACTGCATCCCTCAGTCAATGGTCTGTGATGGCAGCAGTGACTGCTGGGACGCCAGTGATGAAGCTCCAGAACTGCAGTGTGGTGAGACAGCAGTTAGACACTGAGTTACTGTGGGAGGGTTCAAGGCTCGAAAAATTTAATGCATTTAAGCTAATTAGATTTTTTCAGCTTTATCCCTTTTCTCATCCCATTTTTGCACCTGCATACGTTTTCATGATATTTGCTCTTGAGACTGATTCAAAAAATGTACACCTACCTGTGTTTACCATATCCAATCATTTTGACCCTTCTCACGGTTTCTCTGTCACCTGTAGGTCAACGTACCTGCAGTTCCGACCAATTCACCTGCCCAACCTGGCACCCCGGCCACCCACGCTGCGTGCCCTTACCCTTTGTGTGTGATGGCGAGAAAGACTGTGTCGATGCAGCTGATGAGCTCCAAAACTGTGCTAACCGAAGCTGCCACATGAATGAGTTTGCCTGCTCCAACGGGCTCTGCATCTTCCTCCCATTTCAGTAAGTATGAAATATATGCAGGAATAGAATTTGAGTTTACCAGTTGGGAAGCTCATTCTCATGCCTCTAAATAATACACTACTTCTCCTCTCCAGCTGCGACCGTGTGAATGACTGCGGAGACGGCAGTGATGAGTTGCACTGCACTTATGACACATGCAGCAGCACCCAGTTCACCTGCGGTAACGGTGCCTGCATCTCCGCCTTCTTCACCTGCGATGGGCAGAATGACTGCCTGGATGGTTCGGACGAGGCGGACAGCTTGTGCGTCACACCTCAGCCCACCTGTGCGCCAGGGCAGTACATGTGCACGTCCGGCCAGTGCATTGAAGACAACAAGGTGTGCAACGGAATGACGGACTGCCAGGACAACAGTGACGAAAAAGGCTGCGGTGAGCGACTCACAGACATGTGAAATGATGTTGATCTGATTTCTGATTTCTGAATAGTATCTCCCTATCGTAAACGATTTGACACTGTCTTCAAAAGCATTCACAAACATACAGTCTTGTCATTTTATTACACTGAAGACAGAGAAAAGGGGAGTCTTCTAGGCTCAAATTTTGTATCTAGGTGGTGAGATTTTGTGAACCAAAATATTAGAATCTGTCCTTAAATGTGTGTCTATCCACTCATTGCTTTGTGTTAATATTGCTAAAAGTATATAGACTCTTCAGATGTTAACACATGAGAGAATATATTACACACATTTCTGCTGCTGCTTAAAATTGTCACATTAAATCCTCTCTTGTTTCCACTACTCCCTCTTTTCTCATTGTGTTTAGGAATCAATGAGTGTCTCACCCCGTCAGTTCACCAATGTGCCCAAATCTGCACCGACACCCTCACCAGTTATTACTGCTCCTGCCACGAAGGCTACAAACTCATGCCAGATGGCAAAGCCTGCGAGGACCTCAACGAGTGCCTCAGCACACCCGCCATCTGCAGCCAGATCTGCGAGAACACCTTTGGTTCATATCACTGCAAATGTGCCCCAGGTTACCTCCGTGAACCAGACGGACGCACCTGTCGTCAGAACAGCGGCATCGCCCCGTACCTGTTGTACAGCAACCGTTACTACATCCGCAATTTGACCACCGATGGGTCACAGTTGAGCGTAGTCCTGCAGGGGCTGTCCAATGTGGTGGCGTTAGATTTCGATTACTTTGAGAAGAGGCTGTACTGGCTGGATGTAGGAGTGGGAAAGATTGAGAGGATGCGTTTCGATGGGACTGACAGGGAGACGTTGGTGGATGGAAACATAGGAGGAGCTGAAGGCCTGGCTGTGGACTGGGTGGGCAGGTGTGTGGAATAGGAGGAGCTGCATTACCAAAACTATATAATTCCTGATTTACTGTTATTTTGTTTATTAAACGATAAGCAGTGGAATTCACAGACAAATTATGATTCTAAATTTCCAGTAGAAGTTTACTACGTATTTTTTTTTCTGTTGTTTTGACTGAAATTGAAGATGTGTGAGAATTGTTTCTGTCTCTTGCAGGAAGGTGTACTGGGTGGATAGTTATTACAGCTCAGTTCATGTGATGGAGCTGGATGGACGCTATCAGAAGAAGCTGGTGTCAGGAACTATCACAAGTGGAAATGACACTTTTATTGTCAGCCGACCTCGTGCTGTGGCCGTCAACCCTAAATATGGGTATTCACATATGCACACACACACAAGCCCCTAAATCTACGGCTGACACCAAACCCAGATGTGTACAGTTGTTCCTCTCAGACTGTATAGTAGCTGTAGTTGTTTAGATACTCTATATGAGCCTGCGTTTCTTTATACTGATGTAGTTAGTGGAAGAAGAGGAAAGTTAATGAAATGCCTCCAGAAATACAATAATATTCATTACTAGCTGTTTGCTCTTTGTTGAAGGTTTATAATGAACTAATCCATTGTTTGTTTTCCTTGATCCCTCCTGTTTCTTACCTCCTGTTTCCTCTTTTTCCCAGATGGCTGTACTGGACCGACTGGGGTGACACAGCGTTTATCGGAAGAGCTGGCATGGATGGAAAAAACGTCACAGCTATTATCACCACCAAGCTGGAGTGGCCCAATGCTCTGACCATTGACTACACCACCAACAAGATCTTCTTCGCTGATGCCCATCTTAACTTTCTGGAGTGAGTTTATGGGCCTTGGACACAACACTCTGACCTTACTCTGAGTCCTCTATGTTACTTCACATGGCAGCTAAATACCTACATTAACTATTAACCTTCCTGAATATCTTAGCTTTGCAGACATGGATGGGCAGAACCGGCACCGGGCCATTGCTGGTACACTTCCCCATGTATTTGCTGTTACCCTGTTTGAAGACTGGGTCTACTGGACCGACTGGAACACACACACTGTGGAGAAAGCCCATAAGTACACTGGAGAGCAGCGAGCAGTCATGGGTAACAACACACATCGGCCCCATGACATTCACGTCTGCCACCCCTACCGGCAGCCTCGAAGTACGTAAATGACAGCTGTATGCATTTATATTCCTAATTCTCCATGGGCAGCAAAAAAATACATTATTCTTAACCAACTTCCTTCCCAGGTGAAAACCCGTGCTCGTCCCATGACCTGACCTGCAGTCATTTGTGTCTGATCGCACCTGGTGGCCAGAGAGCGACCTGCGAGTGTCCAGATGGCTTCATTGGACTGATTGTGGGCTTTAAGGTCCAGTGTGTCGCCGACTGCTCCAGCACTGAGTTCCGCTGCGGAGACAATGAGAAGTTAGTCTGACAGAAAATCATTTCCATTCCACAGTCTTCAGTATTCTCATCATCTGCTAATTGTTTATGACAGTACTGAATATTAACAGTGGGTTTACTGGAATTTCAGAAGCCTGTAAGAAAAAGGAAACTTGTGTTATTTAGAATTTTACTGCGTTTTCAGGTGTGTTTTTAAAGAAAAAATATATGCATGTATAGAAATTGCTATGATGTATTACAAACTGCTAACATATTTAGAAAAGTGCAGAGTATTACCCTTCATCAGGGTTAAAATTCCCAAAGCTTTATATTATTTACTTTTTTCGTCTTATTTCCTATCAGTTTCCCAATCCTGATGAAGACATAGAAAAATACTCTGTTTCAGTTACTTAATGTGCTGCAGTACATATAAACTAATATATAACAACGTTGAATTATATGTTAAAGCAGGCAAGTCAAAAGTGAAAGATGATTTTTGGGAAACAAATTTAAGATGCAAAGCTCATTTAGAAGAAGGTAAGTTATCTAAAAACATATTGCGGGTTAATTCTGCATTTATGCTGTGTACAGTATGCAATAAACAGTTTAATTTATATGCTGCCAAGTCCCAACATAGGCAAATAAAATAAAAAAATAATAAAAAAATAGGAAGATGAAGACCTGACAAAATTCATCCCCTCTTGAACTCTCACTTCAAAGTTATTTTCCACTTTCCCTTAAGGTACATATCGACTATCTGCCTCATGTCGGTATTTAGCCTTAGATGGAGTTAACCACCCGCTTAAGGCTGCATTCCCAAACAACCTGCCTCTGAGAATCATGTGTAATCCAACCTTCCTCCTTTCCTTAGGTGTGTTCCCATATGGTGGAAGTGCGATGGCCAGTCAGACTGCGGCGATGGCTCAGATGAACCTCAAACTTGCCCTCCTCGCCAGTGCCCCATTGGCCGATTCCAGTGCCAAGATGGCAACTGTACATTCCCCGGCTTCATCTGCGACGGCCACGCAGACTGTCCTGACAGCTCGGACGAGGACGCTGCTCTCTGCAGTACGACAACAAACATAGTTACTGTAATAGAACGCTGCAGTGTGGAAAACCTGATAGAAGGCCAAATCTGAATAACTCATTAAAACCTCAAAATGTATTAAAAAACTAAAGAATAGGTTGTTCTACAATTGTTATGTTAAACTGGTTTCTTTTTGCTCAATGTTTTCTTATTAAAAAAATCAGGAATTCAGGTAATGTGAATGTGTGTTCTGTTATCGCAGGTGATCACCGATGCCAGGATAACCAGTTCCAGTGTAAAAACAAGATGTGCATCTCTGTGTCCTTGCACTGCGACGGAGTACAAGACTGCTCAGACGGCAGCGACGAGGATGAGGAGACTTGCTCCCAGAAGACCTGCCCTCCAGGACAGTTCCAGTGCGCTAACGGCCGCTGTCTGCCATCTAGCTATGTGTGTGACGCCCAGGACGACTGTGGAGACGGATCTGATGAGCCGTATGAAACCTGCAGTAAGTGGAACATTAGGAAAAGGCAGTTTAACAGGAATGAATCCGGAAAGAAACAAGAACATTGAGCAGTATATGACTTTAAGGCAGACTTTGAGGCAGGAATCACACATGTGACTCCCCTGATTTCCCTTTAAGGCACTGCTGTAATTGATGGTAGCGGCGCACTGTGGCAGAACAACCTGACAGTTTAATCAAGCATAGATTTATCTGTTTTTCAGTGATGTTCAATCAATATAGACTCAGCCACATCCCAGGGGTAATCTGAGTAAATCGATGATGTTATATTGCCTGTTTTGTGGATTTTTTAAAAATTTAAGTGACACAGATCGTTTGTCCTTTTTTTCTCTCATCCTCCTTCGTCTGCTTCTAATCATTGTGCGTCTCATTTGTCATCTATTATGCAAAATTTTGTGTTTCTGTCCAACCGTCATTCTCACTTCCTTCCTCGCATTTCATGTGTAAAGTCTCTCTTTCTCTCTCTCTCTCTGTTTCTCTCTCCAGTGGGTCCAGAGTACAGGTGTGATGAGGACACCGAGTTCTCCTGCAAGACAAACTACCGCTGTATTCCTCAGTGGGCCCGCTGTGACGGCACTAATGACTGCATCGACAACAGCGACGAGCAAGGCTGTGGTCAGTGCTTATGTGTCAGCAGATGTGCTGTTCTGTAAAGGCAGGGCTGTGATAAAAACCTGCACTAGTCGAGTCCATGTCAAATTTAGTCCAGGTTGTGTAAAGTTCAAGAAAAATCCGTAAAATACAATATTATGGAAAAATAAAATGTCTTTAAAGATCCTTAGTTTCTCAATGAAAGTCACATTTTCTGTGATATCCTAACTACAACTCTATACGGTACTGAACAGTTAAAAAGATTAAACTATAATCTGGAAATCTTCTTTAACTGTAGTGAGTTATACACTACTTACACAGCCTAGTAATCACATGGATTATTGATTTGTTTTGGTCAACAGCTGAGTTTTAACAATTTGTTTTCAGCTTTTCCCTAAACTGCCATGTCAAAATGCCTATCTCAAGAATAAAGTTATACTGTCCTAGCATCACACAGGAGACACAAATGTATTGCATCGTGAAGAAAATAAGAGCAACCACAGCCTTTTCACTTTCACTTCAGATTTTATTCATAAGAATAAATGAGACTGGATGTCTTTGATAAGAGTTTGAGACTTTAAAAAGCTGATGAAGTAAATCTATAATTCAGGAGACTGTTCGGTTTCAGTGTGTTTTACAACTTAAATAGCAAAATATAGTCACCCTACATTGGTTTTTCACCCTCTCCCTGCTGCTTTTTTTGACTTTATCTTTCCAACAGAGGAGCTGACATGTGATCCTCTGGGAGATTTCCGCTGTGACAACCACCGCTGCGTCCCGATCCGCTGGCAGTGCGATGGCGCCGACGACTGTGGCGACGGCTCAGATGAGAGGAACTGCCGTAAGTGTCGCACTCTGTAGCTTAACTTTATTCATTTAAAAAGCTATTAGAAACCATTATACGTGATACTGTAGAGGGCCGCGGAGGGCTGGAGCCTATTTCAGCTGACGTTGGTCATTATTTGAAACCACTCAGCTGACGTTGGTCATTATTTGAAACCACTCAGCTGACGTTGGTCATTATTTGAAACCACTACACATTAAATTGAGTCTTGCATGTCCACCAAAGTTACATAATGCGTGTTCAAGTTTGTCTTTTCATTTGGATTAAGAATCGTGGGAGTGCAAAAATGTACATCTTGTTTCTTCATGCCAACCTAGCCTAAATCTTTGTGCACTTCTAGTCTCATACTACAGGTGTAAGTGATCTTAAATCACTGCTGATTTGTATAAATTGATGCTGTGTAGTTTGCATAAACAGTCACATCATTTGGCTCTAATGCTGAAGATATGTGTATCCCACTCTCTAGAGCCAAGGCCTTGTTCTGAAAGTGAATTCCGATGTGACAACGCGCAGTGCATCCCTGGAAACTGGGTGTGTGACCATGAAAACGACTGCGGGGACAACTCAGATGAGCGAGACTGTGGTGAGCTGCACACAAACTCACCTCCTCAGAAAACACCCTCAGTCGTAAACAACACACACACACAACCATGTTAACATCTTGGCTCTCCTCCAGAGTTGCAGACATGTCGTCCAGGTTTTTTCCAGTGCGACTCGGGTCACTGTATCCCCGCTGCTCTGCAGTGTGACGGCCAGCCTGATTGTCAGGACGTGTCAGATGAGACCAGCTGTCGTAAGTAAACAACACTAAAACTAATGGCAAACTGCCTGGCTCCTGCAGTCTGTTAGTGCACTTGTATTTTGTGTGTGCACAAGGTGATTATTCAGATTTAAAGCCTTCAAAAGGATGTAAATGTGCTCTAGTTGTGCAAACAGCAGAGCAGTTAGAAACACAGATGGGATTTAAAAAGTTTTAGCTGAAACCACTTATTTAGAGATTAAATTAAAGGTGAAAATGTTCATGAAAATGTCTGTCAAACATACACACCAGCAGTTTACTGCAGTGATTAAATGACAGAGTAGCTACACAGGATCAGTTGACTGTGTGGACATTTGAAATAGGCAGTTTAGAGGAAAATCTTTATCATAGCCGTTTCTTTTACATCCAAACATGTTGAGGTATTGCAAAACTTTGGAGGCCTTGTTGGGTTCGACGTTAAGAGGCTGTGACCATAAACTGCAGCTTCTTGGTTCAAAGGACTTTGTCGCAGATTATTCTGTCATTTTTTTACTGAGCATCATCTTACCAAAGCATGAAATGTCACACCAAGGAATGTGTAGTTTTATCTGAATCTTGAGAATAAAATATTTCCTCTTTTAAGAGGAATGGTCACCAAAACTGCCCAAATAAGACAAAAACAGTCTTATAAGAACCTCATTGGAGCTTAGGAATGTGGCTGAGTAAACAGTTAATGGGCTTCTTCTATGTGTGATTGTTTTGAAGCAAAACAGTGGACAAATCAAAGAGAGGTATGAGAAATAATCAGGAGATCTACTGAAAGTCATAACGTAATTCTCCCAACCTTTCCAGCCACTCGTTTCCCAGGAGGCCGCTGGTGTCCTGACAGTCAGTTCCAGTGTACGAACCATCTGTGCGTGATGCAGAGCTGGGTGTGTGACGGCATCAACGACTGCGGGGACAACTCTGACGAACAGCTCAACTTGTGCTGTGAGAAAACATGTTTATCATATCTTAAAAGTTTGTGTACTGTCTGCGTTCCTCACTGTGAGATTAGAATAGTCATTAACATCTTGAACTGCATTATAATCACTGTCCCCAGCCTTCATCTGGCTAAAGATTGAGATAATATTTAGAGGATTTTCATGTTGGTAATTTGTGTCATACTTAGATTGGTAAGTACTGACTTTTATCCTCATTAAATGCCGTAAAGTGACGAAGAACACTGATGAAATGAAGTTCTGCAACTGCTTTCCTCATTAATCCCCTCAATAGTAAAGTAATCCAAGATGTAGAAGAAAAGATGGTTGAAGACTTGATAAACTAAGACAGCTAGTAGGAGGGAATAAACAGTAGCAGTGTGTTTTAACAATACTGTACACAGGTTGGCCTCAGCTCACATTTGTGTGTGTGTTTGTATAGGGAACATCACCTGTGAGATGCCGTCCAAGTTCCGCTGTGCCAACGGCTACTGTATCTACGCCGGCCTGCTGTGCAACGAGAATGATGACTGTGGAGATGGCACCGATGAGAAGGAGGACCTCTGTATGGCTCACACATACTAATGCACCAATCTGATCAAACAAAAAGTCTAAACAGTCAAGGAGAGAGAAGTTAGAGCGAGGCATAGATCTACAAACACAAGCAGAAATAAAAACATGTAGATATGAACATAGATCATGTATGTCCTGTAAATGCACTGAGCTTCAACTGTCCAATGCTGTTTATTTAGATAAAGATGCTGCCTTTTTTTTTCTTTTTATCTATGGCCAGATTTGTAGTAAGGTTCGACAAATGCACCGTTTATCTTCAGTTTCTGGGATCGTTGAGCATTAGTCCAAACAACGCTAATGCTCCTGAACCCCTCTTCTCTGAGGCCAGTGAAATGGGAAATCCCGTAATGACATCAGTGTCTGCTCAGGACAAAGCCTGAAACATACAAGAGATAAGAAAATAGTCTGTTTTATGGAAATGTTACACAATCGGCTTAAACGTCAATCAGAGCAAATTATTTTGAGAGGGGATTAAACAGTTAGGCCCGCAGTGGAGGCGGACATTGGCTAGCTCATGAAAATCCATTGGTTTTCAGGCAGTGGACGGTAAAGACAGAAACAATAATGTCAATTTATGATGATTGTAAGAGAACTTTGCCAATCTAAATATACGTGCTTCTCTGTTCATGCTTGTGGGTGGATGGTTCACTCGCTGTCTTTTTTTTCTTGTTGAAGAGCGACACAGTAGAGAAAGCTCTGAATTCACTCCCAGACTAGTGAGAGTGGTGTTTCTGCCACATACCCACTCAACCTTCTCTGCATACTCATGCTGATGATTCACTCTGTGTCCTTCACAGGCCGCGAGCCCACCCTGGCCCCCTGCACGCTGGACGAGTTTAAATGCACTAACGGGCACTGTGTGGCCCTGCCGTATGTGTGCGACCACAATGACAACTGTGGGGACCGCACTGATGAAATGGGCTGCAGTGAGTACCAAAGCAAAACACTCAATCAGCTAACTGGCAGCATCCTCTTTTAATCTGAATGTAATGCCTGTTATTAAATCTACCTGGAAAGCAGAAATGTCCTGTTGGCTGATGTATTTATGGTCACACAAAGTTCAACGCAGTGAATCATTGTGACCAGATAACTGGATTATGATCAACATCTAACTCAATCTGCCCGCGAACAAAAAAACACTTATTTTGGCAGAAATGGTTTAAATGTGTCAGTGAACATCCTCTGTGTTGTCTCCTGCATTTAGATTTCGGCCTTGATCGCAACTGTGAGGAGAAGCTGTGCCAGCATGAGTGCACCAACCTGAACGGCACCGGCTTCATCTGTTCCTGCAGGCCTGGATACACAGTGGACCCAGACAGCACCTACACCTGCCTGGGTACTCACACACTCATAGAAGAACACGTTAATTAAACGTCTGGTTAAATCTTTAGTGGGACAAACCACATCACCCATCAGATCTACGGAGAAGCACAAACATGACCAGAAATGTACTGCTGCACTGATTTGAATATTATTTCTTGTCTCTCCTGACTCTTTCAGACATCAACGAGTGTGAGGTGTACGGTACCTGTCCACAGTTCTGTAAGAACACAAAAGGAGGCTACGACTGTGAGTGCGCCCCTGGATACAGGAAAGTGGGCGACGGCAACATGTGTGAGGCTGAGGGTAAGAATAGCCTTTTTATAAGTAGCAACATGCAAACAGTGTGACTGAAATTGCAGCTTACATTGAATTAATGGCTTATTGAAGTAGATTTTGGATTAGATGCAATAAAGAGAAACAAGATGAAGCAAATGCCACCTCATTAATGATCTGATGGTAAACCTTGTTAATAATAGTAGTGCCTTTTGGTCTCCTCATGCAGATTCGAACAAGTATGAATGCCTTTTAATGACGAATAATTCTTGTTTCTACTGATGTTAAAAATACTTAAAGTCATCACTATATTGCAGGTCTTATGTTAACTGTTCATTAACTTTCCAATATACAGCTATAATATCAAATATATAGCTGTGTCTTTAATTAAAAGACAGGTAACAAGATGCAGGTCACTATGGTGATCTTATTGGTAGAGAAAGTACAATTCCTCCTTATGAGATCTCACAGAAGAGCCTGAGTCCATCATTGTTATGTCTGAGTCTTCATATTTGCCCTGTTAAATTACAGAAACAAGTAAGATGTAAATGCCTGCTTCTCCCACAGGAGCGACTCCACTCCTACTTCTACCAGAGAACATTCGTATCCGGAGGTTCAACCTGCAGACAGAGGGCTACCATGACTTCATCCAAGAAGAGGAGCACATCATGGCTCTGGACTACGACTGGGACCACAACAACACCGGATACAGTAAGACACTCACGTTAGCAACAGACAGTACAAAAAAGATGAAAGACAACTGGGTCCACACAAGATACAGTAATAACAAACCTTAAATCTGGTTTGACCACATCCTTGTGCATTGTCAGGCATGGTGTACTTCACTGTTGCTGGTAAAGACTCGACAGCCGGTGCCATTAAGAGAGCGTACATACCTTCAGTGGATGATGGCAGCAATAACATTGGTGCTGCTGTTGACCTCGGCATCAAATACATCACCACACCAGATGGCATCGCTGTGGACTGGGTTGGCAGGTCAGTTCGCACTCACATTTCTCAACTCATCCAATTGCATTCCCTCAGTAGTCTCATACCTCGAGCTTAATCATAGTTTATCATTTTAAAGTATTTTAGTCACTTACATGAATGTGATTAAAGCCTTGAAATTAGTTCATAAATGAGCTTCTTTGTCAGTAAAGGGGTCGACCTTAAATCACTCAACTCTTTTAGATACATCGCTTCTTTAGAGAGAGTCTCCGTGTGTCAAAGCATATTTTGTCAATAGTTGTGTATTTTACCTTGTTTTAGAAACCTGTACTGGGCAGACTCCAGACTGAAGAGGTTGGAGGTGGCCATGTTGGATGGACGCTACAGGAAGCATCTAGTCAAGACAGAGCTGGGTTACCCATCTGCTGTAGCCGTCAACCCACGACTGGGGTAAGATTAGTCTGACCCACTGGACATAGACTATGGGTATAAGCCTGTTGTTGGCCACATATTTCATGCAGCATTCTCCTACTGTAAAAAATCCCCTTTACTCTGGGAAATAACAACAAAAAGCAGCAGCCTGTTGGCTATTTTGATCATTAAAAGCACTCACATAGTCAACATACGTCTTTAACTGTTGATCATTTTAGTGACAGTTCTCATATTCCCACATGCAAATGTTCCACCCAGACAAAGTCCCTTCAACACTTTATTGAAGGGGCACCAACACTACATCCTGGGCTTAGCGTTTTCCCATGCACTAACTGCAGATATTTCTGACTATGTGAGACGATAGATAATACAGGGACAGAGCTGTGTGAATTTCCTCAAGAGGATGAATAATCTATCTATCTATCTATCTATCTATCTATCTATCTATCTATCTATCTATCTATCTATCTATCTATCTATCTATCTATCTATCTATCTATNTCTATCTATCTATCTATCTATCTATCTATCTATCTATCTATCTATCTATCTATCTATCTATCTATCTATCTATCTATCTATCTATCTATCTATCTATTGCAGTGATCTAGAGATTTTATTTGCCTTCAATCATTTTTTTTTGTGTCTTTGTTTAGCTCAGTTTTTGCATTTAGATTTTTTGGAAAGCATCTGATTGTAAGATTGTGTTTCCATTGAAACATTTGTGGATGTCTGTCTAACTCTTAAACTCTTTGTTTTATCCTCTCAAGTAAAATGTCTGTTGGAGAGAAGCACAGTCAAAACTATTGCATCTGCCTGCTGTGTGGTTGTATTTATCTGCCATGGAACACAGCGGAAGGCATTTTAACTCACCGTTTCAGCGACCAGTGCTTTAATATGTGCTGTTTTTTTGTAGGATGCTGTACTGGGCAGACCGTGGGGACACAGCTAAGATCGAATGTTCTTGGCTGGATGGTCAGAATAGAAAAGTTCTAGTGGCAGATGGCCTGGGTTGGCCCACTGGACTGTCCATCGACTTCACCAACGATGACAGAATCTACTGGTCGGACTCTAAGGAAAGCCGCATCGAGTCTGTTCTGCCATCTGGGGAGCAACGGAAAACTGCCGTCTACATAGGTGAGGTTTAGAAAGGAGACCCAAGATGAGACGATAAATGTGAGACTAATTTTATCTAAAGGAAAGTATGTCCAAATGTGATCATACTTTCAGATTATTCAGTGATCCCTCATATGTCATACATTCAACACCTAATTCCATTACTGGGGCTGAGTTGAATTGCTCACATATTGTTATACCCTGTCTAGATGTGAGAAACCCCTTCGGCGTGAGCGTATTCGAGGACCATGTTTACTGGAGCACTCAGGAGAAAGGCGAAGTGTTTCGACAGGACAAGTTTGGCCGCGGAGACAAGGTCAAGCTGCTGACTGCTGGCCCCTGGCTGACCCAGGTCTCTGTGTACCAGCAGCAGAGATACAACTCCATAGCTAGTAAGCTCACCCACATAATCAAATACATTACCACATGCTGTCCTGGGTTTCAGTTTTGTTGGGTTTTAGCACATAGCATAGTATGTGTATGTGGGGGAGGGTTTGTTGTTTGCAGATTACATCACCCTAATAGCATGTTTGTCTGTTTTTTGTTTGTGAATAAATAAGTGTATGTTTTATAATTGTGTGACATTATACCAGCATTCAATTCAACATTATAAATATCCAGTGCACAAAAAGTATATGCTTTTTATGTTTCTGGCATTTCTTGTGCAGAAAAAAACAACAACATGTAAGTGCAGGAAGTCAGCAGATAAAGAAAGAGTGAACAAGAAAGGAAATTACCTGAAAGTTTTGTTCACAGCAATGATGCCAAACTCAAAAAACTAAGTCACAGACTTCAACTTGCTGAAATCAAAGAAATCGAAACACTTTCCTTTGATCGTGCAGTGAAGAATCCATGCAAGGGAACCTGCAGCCACCTGTGTTTGCTCCGACCGGGAGGATACAGCTGCGCCTGCCCCGAAGGCACCAGCTTCGTCTCCAACAGTAACACGGAATGTGATGCAGGTAAGAAAATTAGTTATTCAGTTTTCCTGAGTATCATAGAAACAGAGGGTGTCACGTATCAAAGTCTCATTAATTAATCTGTGAGCTTTACTGCAGCAACAGTGACACAACTTGACATCATTTTCTCCTTGCCTTGTCTTTGTCTGCAGTATAATAATAAATTCACACAAACGTTAGAAATGCTGTTGAGGGATTTAATAGAATCAACAGTATTGATGCCCAAATAAAGATCAGGTTTCTGCCACAGTGCAGTAAAACTTACTGCTCTCATTGATATGAATGTTCAGGTTTTGATCCACCACCCACCATGCCGCCGCCATGCCAGTGCCAACATGGAGGCACCTGCTATTTTGATGACAACAAGGCTCTCTGCAAGTAAGACATTTGTTTCAGTCTTTTTTACCCGGCTGTCAGACTGAAACAGCACATATGTGGTTCTGTAAATAAACTGTGGTATTAACGCTGTGTCTTACAAGAGGGATCTTGAACTGCAACGTTTGCTTTTTGCTCCACAGATGTCCTCCAAACTGGGAGGGAGAATTCTGCCAGACTAACTCATACAACGTGGTCGCATCTTCAAGTATATTTGATTTAATTTTTAGAAAAACAGCACAGTTACAAAATTAAACGTTGTGTTTCTTATTATTAATGGGTCTCCTTGTGCATCTGCTCTCTCCTGCTTTCGTCCTTCCCTCCACGGCAGTTGGAATAGCCATCGGGGTGACGATATTGATCGTGTCTCTGCTGCTTGTTGTGGTCTACATTGCCAAGAAGAAACCTAACGTGGTGGGAAGGCTGCGGAACTTGCCCAAAATGCCCAGTATGCCATCTATGCCATCTATGCCATCTATGCCATCTATGCCCAATATTCCAAGCTTCAGGTGAGATTGAGCCAGAAGAGAAAAGACTCAATACATGATTATTGTTGTAACATATCCAATATCTCTGTCCACAGCTTCTGTTTTAAACAAAATAAATAAATCAAGGTTAAAAGCAGATTTATTGCACCTTGACGGATGGATGCTGACACTGAGATTAATTGTATGCTTTCAATTTACATATGAGTATTATATGTCAGCAGATGACTTACAGCAGAATGACATTCTCTTATTGTGTTGCCTGTTTTCAGGAATGGCGTGACCCAAAATGGACTGAAAACAGAAGGCAATGAAACAAGGCCGGACGCAGAACCGGTCAGTAGCGAAGCAAAACAACCATTCATGGAAAAAAAAAAAAAAAGCAACATCATCAACTGCCTAAAAAAAATGGCATTTACACATATTATATGTCTGTTTTTCTCGTCCTGATTAGATAAACAGTGAATAATTTACTGTCTTTTGTCTAACACGCTGCCTCTTGTCAGGTTCCCTGTACGTCTGTATCCATGGTGGACACAGCGGGGAAGAATTTTGAGAACCCAGCGTATGAAGCTGAAGAACAGCTTGAATCCAACAGCTTGCCGACAGCCACCTCTGCTCCTGCTGGAACAAACAAGGTCAATAAACAAAAATCGCTGCTCGCCTGCAGACTGCATTGATTCTGCTTTACACCTCCTTTTCCTTGGTGGCTGCATGTGACATGCTACATTTCCTTTACTGATTTTTTCCTGCTGCAATGTACAAGTTAATTCTGATATTTCTGATATAAAATTAGTGTAATTTGTGTACATGCTTTTTTTTACATAACTCATCCCTACACAAGAAACACCTTTGCTCATCACTACATTCAGATATTTTCTGTGCAGAAAGTGTAAAAACGTGCAAATCATGACGTTAACATATTCTCATCGGCTCTGTTTTATGACCGTATTTTTGCTTCCTCAGGAGAACATTAATAATCCTCTGTACGTGGAGGAGGGTGGAGCTCCAGAAAAGCCAGCAAGAAGAGCACCCAAGCCTGACATCTCCGACAAGGTTGGTTTGTGACTCAAGTCATAGCACACTGAAGGAAGTTTTCTAAAAAAAAAAAACAACAGATGTCAAATGCAACTTTATTGACCAGGCCCTCATTTGTCTTATTATGTGATGATCCTCAACTAGTTAAATTTACACTGCTGTGAATGTCCCTGCTTTATGCCTGCTCACAGACTTTTGAGAACCCATCGTACGGCTCAGAAGACGTCACTCCTGCACCACCAGCTGCTTCGAGCACACAGGTAGCCATGGCGACACATGTCAAAGTGTTACACAAGGGTTACTGCTCAGAAGCTGAAAACGTACATACATACATGCTCTGAGTGTAGAAAATCTTTTGCAAGTAACAAAAACAAGATGTTAAAGTGGATTGTTTTGAGGGCAGTCAAATGTTTGCAGATTTTTTAAGCGTTTGATTTCTTCCTTTTTTTCCCAGCTGTTTGAGCCCACTGGAGAGGATGATTTTATGTCGGTAGAAAACTCCACGTACACGGTGAGTCCAGAATGACAAAGCAAAGAGAGAGATGAAACCAGATGAACTGACTGCTGTGCAGATCTCATTTTGACATGCAGAGCTGTGAAAGTTCTGCACATGATGTCCACGAAGTCTTGAAATTTGTGTATATTTTTACTTTGATTTTAAAAACCTGAGTGGCAGGCTATGTTTTTTTAATTTATTATTATTTCATTTAACGTTGTGTATGACGTTTTGATAAACCAGCTGCATTTTTTATGAATCACTGTGATTTTACACTAGGAACCCCAACATGCACCTCCAGATTCCAACATTTGACATGACTGCTGCATCAGGAATTAGACTGGACCACGTTTCAGGAATGAAACGTCATTATTTCTCATTGGAGGACGTAACATGGCTGAAAAAATTATTCAACAATCTGAACATTGCAACACTGACAGACTGAACAAATCAACCAAGACAGCCTGTAAACAAATATGTTTCATGTCATTTGCAGGTGTAACTTTAATTTCAGTGTAACTATTTGTGTAAAAAAAAAAAAATCAATCTTATAAATGTGATTTAATATAACTAATATGAGGTTTTTTTGAATCAATGAAAAAGAAGTGTTTTTGATTAATAGTTTGTATGTTTTTGTAAGTTTTGATTGTGACATTATATAGTAAAACTACTGTTATCATCAGCCTGTGTTTTTCCATCACAGTTCCATCCCTCCCTTATTCTTGACACACAGTGTTGCTTAAAGCATTCTTTTTGTGTGACGCGACTCATATCACAGGAAGATCTGTAATTACAAGACGGAGGCTCCAACTCTTATCCACTCACTGATCGCAGATAGGACTCTGATCCCCAGCTACTGCGTCTGACCCACTGAACTAAGACGAAATGCTTTGTCATCATCCATTTAATCACACCGACAATTTGAGAGTGATCACAGAGCAACAGCGATGGTTCTGCTCCTCTTCTCTCCCATCGTCATAAGTGTCTGAACGCATCAAGGTCTCTGAGCTCACAACAACAACTAGGCCAACCGCATGAGCAAAGGCACAAAAGAAAAAAAGTGGAAAAGACCGATAAGAGAGAGGAACAAATGGATGGAGAGAGTGAGGAAAGAAAAGGGAAACGCAAAAGGGAGGGAGGGATGGATAGGGAGCTGTGTGTGTCTGTTTCTGTGTTGTGCTTCTTGATGATTCACAGTCCTTGTTTTCAAACTGTTGGTTCCCCACAAGGCCTCTGTGAGCGTCAGCCAAAGTGTGCGCTGCACTGCTGAGAGACGGAGGGAGGGGATGAATAGGAATGGATGGATTTGAGAGGGGCGAACCAAAGAGGCATGCAGCTTACAGCATGTGTGCACACAGTGCTGTGTTCAGGGGCTGTTGGAAATTATACACCCAGTCTTCAGTTATCTAACCGTCAATTCTCAGTGACTCCTTAATGGCCAGAAATTGGTTGTGGTGAAAAATTTTAAACATTAAGTAGTACCACATGAGAACATCTTGTGAATGTCTGCACTCATGAGAGAATGAATTGCTCTTATTTAAATATTTGTCTTGTGCAATTTCACCCATTTTAATAACTTGCACGTGGGTAGTTAAAGTCAAGGTAATTACATTTATATTTTTTACAGCAAGTGTGCATGTGTTGTACAGAGACACATCAAGGAGATTAATGCTTTCTGTACTTACATGTGACATACTTATGTGGTATTAGCTGTTTCAGTAGGAAACGGATGATTAAATAATTCATTTTATATTAGATTATATATCAGGTTGAATATTTTTTGGATTGATTGATTGGTTGGTTGAAAAATATCTAAAAAAGAGCATACAGTTTTTCTAGTTTAATAATTGTGTCTTGATAACTGTGTCCTAAAGTGAGAGCGTAGACTTTTATAAATGAATTAAAAAATAATAAGAATAGAAAAAACGAACTCAGACTGATTAATTGATTACCAAAGCAGTTGGCAATTAATTTAACAGTTGACAACCAACTGATTAATCATTACAGCTCTTGTTATAATTTGCTGGAAAATGAATTTCTGTAAAGGCAAAAAAAAAAAAGTTGAAGAAATTCACGATATATCAAATAAGTCAAAATTATGAGTCGAAACTTGAACGTTCCGTAAAATCCTATAACATGATAAAATTGTTGTGAGATATGTAAACACGTTGACTTTTTCCGTCAAAAAGTGTTACTGCATCACAGTTTTGACTTATCAGCTGTACATCTTTCATTCCTAGTATCTTATACAGTCGTGAGTCGATAATCTGACCCTTAACAAAACTTTGAAAACCTTGCTATCCGACAGGTTTTTAGGAAAAACAAACAGAAGCCATAAAAAACAGCCTTAACATGCCAACAGCCTTGGATTCTGACGATGACATGACATTTTATGTCACAAATAAGGACAACGGCGTATTATCTGACTGAACAATCCGACAGATTGGCTACGTTCAGACTGCAGGACTTAATGCTCAATTCAAATTTTTTTGTGAAATCCAATTTTTTTGTGAGTTCATTCACACGTCCAATTAAATGCGACTTGTATGTGATCTGCTGTGTGAACTTCATATGCATGTGCAGAAGAGGACACATGCTCAGTCTTAACAGAAGTAAACATGGATGGTGGCGGCAGAGGGGGAGTGGCGCTGCCACCGCCACCTGTGGTGGAAACAGAAGTGTGACCTCTAACTAAACGAGCATCAGCAGCCAAGTACTGCTTGTGTGTTCCAGCCACTTCCACCCCGTCAGAACGCTCCCCCAGGGTAGAAGTGGCCCCCGCCATTGCCCCGAATATTCAGATATTCATCATTAATTGAGCCTGAATATCCAGAGACCAGAAAATGTTATTCGGACCAGCCCTACTAGTTATTATAACAACTATGAACAACAATTAGCAAAAAATTACCCTTCAAGCATCAAACTCTCCTTGTATCTCGGCCTCCTTGACAACCCCTTGCTATCTGGCATAAAAGAAGGTTTTACATTTAGTGTCGGATTATCGAGTCACGACTGCATTTATTTTCCCCTCAAGCAGAAATGTGTGTTTGGCATTTTAAAATTGAACTATTTTCCCTTTTTGTTCAACTATTTACTGCATAACTTCCATCTAATACTCACACAACACTAACAGATCAAATCATTATATCAGAAGAAAAGAAAAACATGCTTTTAACATTTACCTGTAGTATGCTGTATGATTTAAAATACTATCAAAACTAGATTGTTAACAAAACAGTGACACAACATTAGGTCTGAATGGAGATGACATATGTTGCATTATTGTGGTTCAAACTCTCATCAAACATTTCCTGTCAACTCATATTTCAAACACAATAGCTCATGTGGAGTTTGGAGTTTCCGAGGTGTTCCTGAAGGCAGCACGGGGAGAGCCAGAGAGGAGAGAGAGAGATAGAGAGAAGAGAGAGAGGGTGAGGGAGGAGAGCTGACTGACAGAGGGGGGAAGGGGAGGCTCAGTGAGCGACAGACTGCATGGAGCTGAGGAATAAAACCCAACGTGAGGCGCTCTGAGGCGGAGAAGGAAGAAAACTGGTGTTTAAGCACAGAAGCGGTGTCGAGTCCAGAGACAGAGGAGACAAAAGAGGGAAAAGGGAGAAAAGGGAGAGAAGGGAAACCTGCACAGAGAGGCTGAGAGGAGCCTCAACAAGGTAGGGATGCTTTCTGCTGTGCACTCACTTCCCTCAGCTCTCACACTGAAATCTGTAGCTCCAGGCTCTGTCTTCATTTACTCAACTCCACACTGAGCTCATGATGTGTTCTGTGCAAAACCTCCATGAAACTCCTATTTGTTTTTGTTTTTTTTTTCTAAATTGCCCATGTGGCTGCCTGAGTGTGCTGCTTGTAGCACCTGAGATTGATTGCCAGCTTCAGTATGAGATTACACTGACAGGGAGGAGTGCAGTGCATAAGCTAATTAAACGACTACAAATGCTTGTTTGGATGAATTAAAATGGAGAAGCAGGTCAGTACAAGCAGTGCACGTTGTGTTTGGTGACCTCAGCGAGAGGTGGTTGACATGACAGGGCCCCTGAGGCTACGACTTGGTCACGCTTTGCTGCAGGGCATGACTGCTTTATGGTTTTTATTGGCTTTCAGTGGAAGACTCAGCGAAGGTCAGGGTCGTGCACAGTTGTTTTGGCAAACAAACACAAAAAAAATGTGCACCAGTGTATTTATAAATGCATTCAAGGTAAAAAAGGGTGTCTTGGGTCTAGAAAGTCATTATGATGTGCTGCCGTGTGTTGGATGGAAATTAAGTGTCTTTAATGAGAGTGAAGCAGATGAAGTGACTGGTTAGAGGTGTTTTTGTTGTTGTTGGTGCATATTGTGCAGTCGATGTCCCCATGGCAGGATTACTGAACAAATACAGCATCCCCACGGAGCGAATATTAATATGTTTAGTTGGAAAGTTAATCCAATGAATATGATACAAATGATACAAACACAAAAGATATAGAAAGGCCACAGAGAGAAACAGTACAACAACCAGATGCAAAACGACCACAGTGACGCTAAATGATCCCAAAGACATGATAGCAAAGAAACACAAAATTACCACAAAAGACACAAATTGAGCAGAGACTCAAAACAAGCAGAAATACATGCAAAATAATCAGAAAAAGACTGACAGAGAGGTGCAAAACAGCAACAAAGAGTTACAAAATGACCAAAGGAGCCACAAAATTACCACAAATAGCTGCAAAATTACCACAGACTCAAAATGACAACAAAGAGATGCAAAATGACCACAAGAGACGAAAAATGACAACAAATAGGCGCAAAACAATCAAAATAGAGGTCCAAAATGACCACAAACAGACATAAAATGAACACAAAGAGACACAAAATGATCACAGAGATGCAAGACAACAAAATGTGGCACAAAATGACCAAAAAGAGATTAAAAATGACAACAAAAAAGATGCTAAATACTACAACAGACACAAAACAACCCCCAAGAGACTCAAAATGATCACAAAAAGATGCAAAACAACCAAAGGAAACACAAA